TAATCTCTATAATTTAAATACACAAACTAAAAAATAAATAAATAAATAAATGTTCCTTAAAGTAACATTAATGAAAACCACAGACATACAAGAAGAAATCATATATGGATGAAATTATTATTTTTTTTATTTATACTATTAATTTTTAAACGTAAATTGATACATTTTATTAATTAAGTGACATTTACACGCTAATAAACTCAAACTCTTAAATTCTTATAGAAAGAGAGACTTAAGTACTAACCATTCAATTAAAGAATGGTTTAATATGTTTAACATATATATATATATATATAAAACAAAATAAATATATTAAATTTTAAGAATCAAACTTGCGACTCAAGGAGAAACCTTGATGCGTCCTCGAATAATAATGGGAGGTTTTTCAGATTTAAACTCCCAAAGCTCAAAACTTCCATCTACAAAATTATAGTAGCCGGCCCCATAAAGCTATCTTCTTCTCTTCATATCCGTCGCTCACATATGGGTATGACAACAGGTTGCTTAGAGAATTATTCACTGACTCCTGCGTGCATGTACTTATTTAAATTACATTTATTCGTTATTTGTAGTTGTTACATGTGTTATATGTATCCAAATTAAAACTGAATTAGGAAATACTTACTCGTTCACAAATTTTAATTTGTTCTTCTATTGGTAGATTTTCAAATTCTTTTTTGACTTTGATCTTGGCGGATAATCCGATTTTAACCCAATCATCTATGAAGTCGCTGCAAATCTCAATTTCGTTAATAAAATTAAAGCAAATAATGATAATATTTATATTTAGTAACTAAATTATTTTAATTAATTTAAAATTATAAAATAGATGAAAACAACTGACACTTTCTCTTAGCTGTATACTCGTACTATTGTTAAAAACTCACTTTTCATCACTGGAATCATCTCGAAGTGTCATAAGTCTTGCTATCCCACCGCATCTACTGTGTCTAATAATCAATATATTCTCTACCTAATATAATTAAATTCAATTAAAAAATATATTGGAATAAAAAAGAAATATGAAAATTCTTAAATTGTCAATACTAGACCTCAAGTGCCGTGACGGAAAACTCAATTATGGCACCAGAATTGGAGTATCTTGACTGTTCACCAGATCAAAACTTATGATTAACGAAATAATTTGATAAACTAAGGGACTAATTGGATATTAATTTTGATAATTGAGAAGGAAGGATTTAATTAATTTATATAATTAATTACCTTGTTAAACGGCGGAACTAGGTTAGCAACGTTGCAGGCCAAGAAGGCTTCCCCAGGTTGAAAATCAAGGACATGCGAGGGACTTACACGTGAGTCTGAGCACGCAAAAACTAAAAACTGCAATAAAATGATTTCTATGAGTCAAGTTGACAGAGATCCGTTGTAGTCTAGTTGGTTAGGATACTCGGCTTTCACCCGAGCGACCCGGCAACGGAATCTTTTGTGAAAATTTTTATTTATCTTTTCAAATTTATTTATTTTTTGTTGACAATGACATAATATATACCAAATAGAGAGAATTGAACCAAAAATTCTTACCTTGGGGTGCTGAGCTTTCGCAAGTTCTTCGTACATTTCTGGATATTTGCTGCATATACATTATTCAATTGTTATATATATATATATATATATATATATATATATGAAATGGGATAAGATTAATCAATGATTAGATGAGATGAAGTTAAATGCTTATCTATTAATTTTAATAGAAGAATATCGAAAAAGTAGACACGTCACTGTCCTGGATGCACTATACACACACACACACACACACAGGTGGTATATACATATATGTGTGTGTACGAATCGTACTCAAATTTGCAGGCCTTGAAGTGAAGAAAGCCATCAATAATCCTTTTGACAGTTGGGCTGCAATGACAAGGCTCGCTCTTTTCTGTATGATCAGCAATCAGCTTCTCAATTTTGGCCTTCAAATCTTCCTCTACCCTTTCATTCTCGCTGCAAATCACAGAACGTCATACTTTGAAGTTTCAGCCACAAAAATATATATGTACTTACACACACGCACACACACACACACACATATATATATATATATATTCATTAATGTACTGATATTTTATAAATGAAAATTAACCCAAAAAGAAAAATAAATACAGACATTTTTTTTCTCATAGTAGTGAAACAAACCAGAGGAGAAGCTTATCAATGATAATTTCCGATGAAGATGACTGCCCAGCCATGTATACGTACGTACGTACGTACGTAGCACGTTCTTTCTACAAGTTCAGCCAACATTCATATTCATTTATAAATTAGGAATACGAAAAATAAAACTTTTTTCTCATATAAATTTTTGATTTCCTATATTTTAAACAAATATTACTTGTATATGTAAATGATTATATCGCTAGAGATAAAGTATGAGGCAGATACGTTTATTACACCTCTCCAAGCACTAAAAATATAAATATTTATACTTGTCAACTATGTGAAGTAAGTGAAAAATTATTAAATTCATATTAGCTGCATGCATACATACTCATTATAGATTTATAAATTTCTATTCCCACTCTGTCCTCCACTGATAATGGATTTGTATCCGTTATATTCGAAACAAATTGTGTTAAAGACATGAGAAAGAAAGAGATCACTTGAACCCACAAGTGTGAAAGAAAATGTGGGTCGCGTTTCTTGAATGGAATCACATGTTCACAATTATGTATACGTTATACATCTAATAGTCACTTTCTATTTGAAGTCTCTACAATACTATTCCTTCACCCCATTAGAATTTCCAACAAACAACCAGAAGAAAAAACTGACAGTGACAAAAATCTAAAAAACTTGAGTATCCAAGTTTGATACCTATATATACAGTTTTGGATATATATATCTATATGTTATGATGCAACAGACATGTTTCTTGATGGCGAACTTATTTTGAAAAGAGATTTTGATCAAAATAAAGGAAAGAAAGAGGACGGATTAAAACCAAAACAGAAATGCTAGAGGTGTAGTGTTTTATATATATATATATATATATATATATATGTGTGTGTGTATACGTACCTATTATTTGTTTTGGAGAAGATAGTTGAAGGTAAGTTGGTATTTATAGGCAAGATGAAGGTGGTACGAGCGTGCAATTACAAAATTATTCATCACGAGAAAAATGCTATTTCAATTTTTGTCATGTCAAGGCTCTATCAAAACGACTTCAAACGAGGAAAATGCTCTTCATACTTTTCTCCTATAAAGACTTTACTGTACTATACGTGAAAAACGCTCTTGTTATCTCTTTTGTCGTTTCAAGGCTTCACTGTCACCAAAACGACTTCAAACTCTTTTTACGTCCAAATTCAATGCAAGCCTATGCACATGACAAAGTGCTGATTGGATTTTTTTTTTTTTTTTTTATTATTAATCTCAATTTTAAAAAAAATTATATAATTATTTTCAAACATAATTTTTTTATAATCTACTTATTACACAAAGACACACTTCAGAACTCTTAATCTACTGGGAAAAAAA